CATGTGGGCATACACATTTTTTATAAGCACGTATATCAACATAAGTTCAGACGACAATTTGTTTGGAGTTGTCAATGCAACTCTGACGTGACAATAAAGTGAATTTTACTCTTTAAAAGTAAAGAGAAAGCATCTCCTTAAGAAACTACTTTCTCATGATTTTCTATTTGTACATATTGTTTGGATGGTAGAAAGTGAAAGATCAAAATTTGAGATGACAGTTTATGTGGTGGCTTCCACTTTCTTTATTTTGTGTTTAGTTGGCATGAAAAATAGACAATGAAAAGTGAATATTAAAATCTGCAACAGTAAGGAGAATCAAAAACTAATATCTCTTCTCTTAATTCACTTTACATCCACTCTCAAAATTTTCAAGAAAAGTGAAAAGAGTTAAAATAATCACGAGGCAACCCTCCCTCCAAGTTTCATTTACCTCTCAGGCACTTTCTGACCATTTCACATTTACTCTCTTGTTGCCAAATACACCTTTTAGTTTAAGGGGTGACATGCTAAACATGCTATAAATTAAGGGTAAAAAAGTAACGTTGTCGTCGATTTAGGTATAAATGTTAATAAAATAGTTTAGAATGTGTAAGTGACTACACCATCATAATACTGGGCAAAAACGCATGTGGCCACAAGAAGAGACTGCCTAAATGAAATCAGAGACACCCACGTAAATCAAAAGCCGAGAAGAGAAAAACATACTAGGAATATCTTTGATTATTTCCACTCTTCTTGCATATTCCAAATTTAACTTGGCAGCACGGCCTCTTGATAGGTTCTGTAACCACATAAAGAACAGCAAAATGTAGAAATAATTAATAACCACTAAGTAAAAGCAAATGTCTATTTAGAAAGAAGAGAGAAAAGTATAATACATTGTTACCTTAAAACACCTGCAACTTCTTAAAAAACTATAGTGCATAACTCCAAATTGCACAAGCCCATGAAAGAATAATTACCACTTTGCTCTAGTGAAAAGAGATTTTGAAATATTGATTATATATGTTTGACTCTTGCAACTGAGGACATTGAAGACTTTGGCGCGGATGATGGGAGATATGGAAATAGACGAAGATGATCTAGCAGGAGCCTACATGGAACTAAACAATTTTGCTTGATTTTATTACAAAATTAATGATAATAAACAACTATTATAGAAGAGCATACTGATTGGATTGGCCTAGAGCTATCTGCGCTACTATTGGGATCAAACTTGAGAGATGTTTGCAAATTCACATATTGCTTTTATTAATAAAAGTTAGAGGAGCAATATTTCCATAATGGTTATTTGCTTTCTCCACTTACAAAGTATATATTGAACTTTCCTCTTCTGCATAGAAAACTTCGATCTCCATTCTCTATCATGCTCTATCCATTTGTATAATTCCAGTGCAGAATTTGTTGACAATACACATCTTCATCGTTAAAACATAGGTTTTCCCTTATAAATCACCTTAAAATAGGGTAATTCTACAAAAAACACCTTTGAATTTCAATTTATAATGAGCCACCTTTAAAGTGGGTTTGTGTTGCAATCAACCACCTCTTAGTCATTTTTCGCTAAAACCCCACAAGTACCCTTCAAAAACTCACAATCAAAGCACATGACTCATTTTGTTAATGCTCATGTCTTGTTAGGATACATGTCATGTACTTTGAACATGAATTTCTTAGCTGGTTTTTTATTTTTTTAGTAAAAATTTGACTCGAAGGTAATTGATTGCTACACAAAACCATCTTAAAGTGGTTTCCATATAGATTGAAATTAAAGTGGTTCTTGAAAAATTACCCTACTTTTAAGATGTTTTTTATGGAAAACCCCTTAAAATATAAGCATTGCACTTGGAAAATAAGCTCAATGAGGGAATATAGAAAGAGACATAAAAATAACTAAGTGAAAAAAATGAAGAAATGTCTTTGGCAAGTTGAAAATTTTGGAATTTGGCTCCTAAACTGTGAGGGAAGGTAATCAATGAGACAGATATGGAAAAAGTTAACAAAACAAATGACTAGAAACTTCATAATAGCTTGGAACTGGACTCAAATGCATTATACATTTGGACAAATATTAACAATAACAAAACAAACTACATTTGGACTAATATTAATCATAGACCCAAGGGAAGTAGTCATTGTTAGGGTAGTGATAGATCCAAGATGGCTAATTAGTAATTACCCATAGGAAACAAAATAGTAGTGATTACCGAATGATTAAAGTAACTAAATGCAAACAGAGGCCTCTCCTTGGTTGTTCTGACAAACTAAAACGATAAGTCATTAACCAAAATGATAATCAAAATGAGAGTAAATAATCACAAGCAAAGTTCTATCTTAGGTTGTTTCAGAAAATTGCAAAATCCAACAAGCTCAATCTAAAGAAACATGTCTTCTATATAATAGCAAACCTCATATTATCTCATACATTAAACAAAATGATCAACTAATCTAAAATACTACATAGAAGAAAAAATCAACATAGATCCATATTATAATTTGCAACACCTAAACAACAAAATGATGATAATGACAACAACAAAATTTTGGTATAAAAACTTTGTTGTTAATATAAAGGCCTTGTTGTTGATGTAAAGGCTTTGTTGTTGCTACTACTAATATAGACAATAATCACCGCAATCATCACTAATATAGATGCTAGAAGGTGGCATTTAGATTTTCTTTTGACTTCCTACTTATGATAATTCAATGTTGAAAATAACAATAACCCATTACTAATGCACTACCTCCCATTAAGGGTTAAAGAAAAAAACGCAAAAGAACATAACACATAACATCAGTTATATGCTTTATTCATTATTTAGATATTTTGTAAAAACTATGCATAATGACTTTAATAATTAGAATTACCAAAATTTTTACACATAACATTACAATTATCAAATATTGAGATTAGTATCATAATTTCATAACAAAAGTTAGTCATATATGACTAATAATCGTTCCAAAAAGTATCATCAGATGATCTAATAAAGCAATATTCAAACAAGTCTAAAGGAGTTAGCTCAGTGTAGCCATCTATCTTCACGATCGAAAAATCCTCACTACTCACGTCAATGCTGGGGAAGCACTAGAGAGACAATGTCGATGAAGTGGGAGACAAAGGCGATGGGAAGCAACAGAGGAAGAGGAGCGGAAGAGTTAAAGGAGTCAGGGTGTAGAAGCCTCCGTCTCCACCAAGAGAAGATAGAATAGTAGGAGCATTCGTCTTCATCTAGAGGAGTTAGGTTTAGAAGTTGGAGAGGTGTTGAAGAAAAACCTAAATGTAATACTTTTAAGAGATGGAGGGGGAAGCTTCGTTGACGGCGAGAGGGGAAGGAGCTGGAGAGGGAGGATTAGAGGATTTAGCATTTAGAAGGGGAAGAGATTTGTTGCTATGAAAAGTGAAAACAAAAGACTTTGGAAGGTAATGTGGGCGTTTAGAATTAGATTATTTAGACAGTGGAGATGCATCCACGCATCCAAATGTGTTGAGTGATTTAACTCAACTTAACTAACCTAAGTTCTATTAAAAGTTATATAACTCACGTTATAACACATTTAACGTGTTATTTTAAGTGTTAAATGTACCATTGTTTGCAGTCTATACATATAAAGCAACATAACCTTCCGCGTATGAGACAAAAGTGATAGATGCATCTATGTTACAACAGGACCAAGTTGCATGTGAAAAGCACATGATCAACTAGATCTAATACTGTTAGTTAGTTATGGTGGTCTTGGGGATAAGGGTTAAGTGAAAATTAGGGGGTTATCAGTCAAAAGTGACCAAACTTAAGGGGGTGTTGTGAAATTTAGCCTTCAATTCAATTGTCGTATACTTGTATTTATCTAGCAAATGTGACACATACATATGTAACTAATGTTGATAATAATCATCGCAACCATTACCAATATATCCACCAAAAGGTGACATTTAGATTTCAGTTGAGCCCTTATGATTCAAATCAGAAGTGACGAGCCAAATATAAAGGTTATAATCTGATTTAAATCAATAAGGCTTTATCCAACAATAACTATTTTAGCACTAACACTTAGCAAAGTCCAATATTAGATGGGCATACGGCATTAATGTGCAAATGAAAATTAATTCATTTATTTAACGATCTACATTCTTTAGGAAATCATAGTTGGTATTTTATTAAGAACTTATTTTCTCTGACAAAAGAGAGCTGTTTTTTACTTCGTTAGTTGTATAAGCATATAGATGATTTGGTACGTAAATGCACAAATGATTGCATCAAAAATGTTTCTAGATAATGTGTTCATCCCTTTCTTATTTCTTACATTGAGTTGTCTGAATTTGCTCCAATTCTAGGTTAACATAGCTAAATCTGTATCCGTAAAATCTCAATCCTTCCTTCGTTTAGCCATTTTGGTCTATATAGTCAAATTCATGAACCACTTATGAAAAACCCGCGGAACAATTTGTGGAAGAAAGCTTGCGGAACAATTTATAAGAAGGGTCGATGAACATATAGGTGCTCCAACGTTATTCACAATCTATAAATCTCTCCCTCCTATTTATCCAGACTCTGCAAATAGCTTAGAACATCCACAAGAACAAAAATTTTGATCTACCATGGCTAATGAAAACCATGATGTGTATCCAATTCCAAACTACCGCAAGGTTCAAACCGAAAACGAAGATATCAAAATTACAAAGGAAGATGACACCAAAGTCATAATAGCTGAAGGGACAAAGGTAAGTGATTATGATTTCTAAGTTTAGATGCATTTAACTTGTCATTTTATCTTTCCACTCCAAAACTTTGGGATAGCAATTGTGTTGCTGTTATTCCTATCCCTATACCTCTATAAATAAAGTTTGTCTAACTGATTTTATCAACTTTAATAACTTGGATTTGCATGAGGAACAGAAAGTCATGATTTTTTACCAATATATGAAAAGACTTTAGGCCATAGTATAAAAAGACTTCCTCACTGTTCGTTGGAATTTTCGTAATCATTTATGTTGTTATGGTTTATAGATAGAACTCAAAGGAGAAGCAAAATCCTTCACAACTATTTCAATTTTTAAAGATTTTGCATTAGTTCATCTTTATATGGAGTTTACAATTTATACCATTTAGAGTGCTAATTGAAGGCAAGTCTATATTGAGTAACATCTTAGTACATTACATAATCCTTGTACACGCATATACTTGAAGTTTTCTGGAGAGCAAATAATGGAACTTGGTAATGGCATCAAAGATAGCAAGGAGCAACCAGTGGAGAACATTCAGACGGTGATGTTTCATTTTTTATTTTTTTGAACTTTTTCTGTTTGTACCAATAGAATAGGAAATGAATTGGAACAATAATATACAGTTTCATTCATTATTACATGAAATTCAACACTTACCTTTTATCTTGACAAATAGGACATTATCCAAATATTTAGGTGTATTTTAAGCATATAGGCTCAGATACAAGTAGAAAATAATGTCAATCTCTTCAGGATTACTTCTCAATCTCAAACTTTCATAAAGATTTAACTCATTCCTTACAAAACATAGGATGTATCAGAAAGGAAACTATCTAGGTGTTTTATATAAATACAGATATAATGATGAGATATAAGAGAGATAGTGGCACTAATTGTGCTAGTTTTCCATAAGGATTCAAAGCCAAGAAAAATCATAACATACCAAGCAAGAGTCAAATGTGCATCCATTATGTTCAGGACTTTACTATTGTATCCACTGATGTAAGTTGAACGTAGACAAATATCAACTGTTAGTATAACAAAATACTTTCACTAACCATCTGAACTAGAATGATTAAAGTGAAGCATGGGAGGGGCTGGGATTTTTACTATTTCAGACCGATCTAGGTCATTCTGAAAGTCTCAATAACAATTAAAATGTAGAATATTTGACCCCCTTAAAAAACCTACAGTTTCTTAAAATTATAGTGAATAACTCCGAATTGTACAAGCCCATAGAAGAATAATAAGCATTTTGCTCCAATGTAAAAGAGATTTTGAAATATTAATTTGAAATGTTTAGCTCTTGCAGGCTGAGGACATTAAATACTTTGGCATGAACGGACCAATGGAAGATATGGAAATAGATGACGATCATCTAGCAGGAGCCTGTGGAACTGAACGATTTTGTTTGATTTTATTATAATATTAATGATAATAAATAACTATTTCGTAAGAGCATACTGATTGGATTGGTTTGCAGCTATATGTTGAATCAAACTTGAAAGATTATTTACAAATTCATGTATTGCTTTTATAAATAAAGTTAGAGAAGCAATATTTACATAATGGGTATTTTCTTTCTCCATTTACGAAGTATATATTGAACCTTCCTCTTACTACATAGAAAGCTTTTGATCTCTATTCTCCATCCTGCTCTATCCATTTGTATATTTCCAGGGAAGAATTTGTTGACAATACACGGCTCCATCTTTAAATTGTTGCCGATTTACTTGGAAAATGTGCTCAAAAAGGGAATTTTATTTCTTCCTAACTAATACATGTAGAGAGAGACATAAAAGTAACTATGTGGAAAAAAAATCAAAAAATGCCTTTGGCAAGTTGGAATTTTTGGAATTTGACTCCTAATAAATCAAGGGGTGGTCATCAACAAAACACACATGGACAAATTTTAACGAAACAAACTACTGGAAACTCCTTAATAGCTTGGAAGTAGACTTAAATGCATTATACATTTGGACTAATATTAACACCGTTTTGAAGGAAATAATTAATCTACTCAAACGGACATCAAGATACAAGTAATAAGTTACTCTAATTGTAAAAATTACTCAAAAGAAAAAGGACATTTTGACGGCGTTCTTCGGGAATTACCAAAATTCTCTCCAACAAAAAATCATGGTTTCCATCGCATCAGGGGCTGTTTGGTTGTTGTTGGTAAAGTTGTGTATTTATGACACAACTTGGAAAATTGTTGTCCACCTCATCAATTTTACTTTTATATTTTTCTTTGTTTGTTTTTTATTCCATTGGAATCATAAATTGCTTGTTTGGTTTGTAAATGTAACTTTAATTGTTTGTTTGGAAAGTGTAAAAAGTGATCCCTACTCAAATGATCATATTGGTTGAAATTATTTTTTATTATTTTTTCCTGACTTCAATGTCAGCTTTCTCCTAAAATCATTTTTTTTTATGAAATCACTTTACAAGCTACGTTAGCATATGAAATCACTTTACACTATTTTCACAACTATAAACAAACAATTGAAAGTGATGAAAGCTAACATTGGGACCCACTTTTTTACACTTTCCATCCTTTTACATGGTAAAAACATACAACCAAACAGCCCCTCAGCTTTCTGCAACTTTACGCATTTAATTCCTTACCAATCAAACGATAGCCAAAACCCTAGAACTAGAAATTACGTTACCAAGATTACAACTTTTTTTTTAAAAAACAAGGGGTTTGTCGTAATTAAGCTGAAGAGAAGCTTACGATGGGGGGAATCGAGAGCCCTGAAAACCACCGAACCTTTTACCCCCACGTGCTAGCGGGACAGCGAGAGTTTGGCTCTTGATCCTT